GCAGAACGTGTTCCTCCCCCAAAAATTATATCTTGCATCTCATCTCATTAGAAAAAAAGAATAACCTGGTGTGTGGTGAGTCTATATTTCTATAATCGAATAACTATGTGATATCCGGTTTATACACTGATTGATCGTCGGTACATCATAAGATTTGAAATCAGGTCACTGATGTTTGACAGATAAGCCGAGCTATGATTAAGTGAGAAGTAAAACTTAATGCATTAGTGAGATCAAACCCAGATATTTTTATTCTCTGGTTGGAAGACAAACAACTGGCAGACAGATTTAGACCAGTAGCCTAATTTATTCTGTCTGTGAGGGTGCTCTGGATGTTAAAAGGCTTTTGTCAGCTCTAAATATAAACTTTTAACAGAGTCAGTGCAAAATAAGCCAAGCCCTGCCTGTGTGTTTTTCCTCACGGATTTAACATCAAGGCCCGAATTGGCCTTCAGAGCAATATTTTAAGAGCAAACACAGGGAGAGAGAGAAGTAACTGAAACGATGTTGGAGGAAAAAAATACACAAAAAAGCAAAAAGGCACGTCTTTAATGCTAAAGTGCAGAGAAGACCTGAAGTTTGGATGTGCTGTTTAATGCAGAACACGCGTCTGTTAAACTGGAAATGATTAAAACGGTGTCAGGTCGGTGTGTGGGTGAATCTGGCTCCAAAGAGAAGTGTGAGTAATTAGACTGCGGCTTCTTCCGATATCGGTGTGTTCGACTTAATTTAAAGAACAACTGTGTTCCTGCAGCACATGGTTTCTCTTAGAGCCTCTGGCCTGGAGATCAGCTGTTAAAGACGCTTTGCGAGGAGCTTGTGGAATTTTAACGGCCACATTTTCTTTGCAACCGCTGCAGAGTTTTATACAGAATACGCTGTTGGATTTAATGCACAGCTTAATGTTTTGGTAATTAGACTGAAATATTTTAATATCCCAGCTGAGAGAAGTGGAGCAGGGCGGTGTGCCAAGCTCTGAATGCTATTTTTAAGTTGTTGACTTGGCACTTGCGTCATGTTTAGGGCAGTAATTAAAACTCTCGTGACCAAAAAAGGTCATTTTTTCTTTGTGCTGTGCAACATCAGGTTTTAAAGGAGTTCAACGATGATGTCTGGACACTGTTCAATACGTTTGTAGCAACATTTTGATAAACAAAGGAAACGATGATCAATGAGTCACACTGTTGCACCGAGTCACATGTTCGATGTCCGAACACACACGCATTGTGGATTAATCCACCGCTGAAAATAGTCCCCAAACAAATCCACTATTTCCTCCTGTTTGAGTAACATTTGCTCAAAACTACAGCATTCAGTGGGAATCAATACGTTTGGGGCTGAGACCCTCAGACATGGAAGAGAAGTCAAAAAAAGTATTTAGAGACAAACTAACCGGTTGTTTTTTCATGAGATTGGTTGATAATAGAAAAAAATTACAAAATATAATCAGCTGAATCCTGTAAATAGAGAAAAATAAAGCATCTTTATCCAAATAAAACAAAACTGAAGAGTAACTTTAGTTGAAGAATAACAATCATTACGCCACAAACTTTACCATCTTTTCTCTGATGGTCCATGATGTTCATGGCCAGACAAAAGTTAGACACCACATTCAGTAATTTTATAACATTATTTCAACTCATCACTTCTCTTTATGCAAAAGGAAGAAGAAGAAAGCCAAAGACAGGAAGAGAGCTGAGCTGCAGCTCAGGGCCGATGAGTAGAAACAGCTTGTCAGTTTCTATATACAGCCCAAGAAATCAAAAGTAGGACTGGGCCAAAATTCGATAATATTGAATATCGCAATATTTTCCGCCGTATGTGTTACTTTTTCATAATATCGAGGGGAAAAAAACAGCAATGATTTAATGAACTAAACGTATTGTAAACTAAACAACATGGTCCACTTCAGCCTCTAAAGCTGTAAGGGAGAGGAGAGGGATCCTGCTATTGAAGCTCACATTTTTCTACCCTTTAGTCTGCAGAGGCACATGCAGAGTCTTTACTTTTATCTAGGTGGAGGTCTTTTTTTTTTAAAAAGTTCCTTAAATACTATCAGGGCTTCGTCATACTGGTGGAGCTCAATTTGGTAAAAGGTATTTGGGAAAGTTTCAGGGTTATCGCTTCATCTCCAAAAAATGCCTCATTTGTTGGTTGTGCCCACAGTCTAACTTTAGACCGGGATGATTGTACAAGGGGAAGAAGAAGAGAACTTTTTTAAAAATATCTGCTCAAAAACATGTTTTACAGTCTCCTGGCCTCGACAGTGATTACAGGAGTCGGAGAGAAAAAGCTGCAGATTGTGGCTGAGTCAGTGTTGTGTAATCCCTGTCAAATCGACAATGTAACAGCTGTAGATAACTGGGGCAGACTCCCGGGCTCTCGCCAGTGTCGCTGTTGGCCCCCCCCCCCCCGTCACTGGAGCGTGACCCCTTCGGTTGTCCCGTGCCCATGAGGTCATCGCTCAGCTGTTGGGGGTCCCTGCGGTACCAGAGGGCTGCCTGTCACTCCTCTGTGAGAGTGACAAGGCCGCTCAGCGCTCAGGAACCCGTGCCAGAGGACGGGGGGGGTAGTCCACCAAACAACACCGTGACTGTGCTGCCTCGCAGGGATTATTTATACCAGGAAAAAAAACAAAAAAAAAAACAAAAACAGGATGTGACTTTGTGCAAAAGAAAGAAGGAAGAAAACAGAGTCAGCACACATGAAAGTTGAAATGAACTTTTAACTAGTAATACATGCAACTAACACATTTTCTGCACATTATTTTATTTGGTTAATTGTTGTTTTTCGTATGAATTGTCAGAAAATAGTGAAAAATGCCCTTAATTTTTGTTTATTATCATAATTAACGAGGAAAAGCAGCAAATCTGGACCCAGTGAGTATTTGGCACTTTGGTGTATTTTCTATCGATTGTCTAATCCATTGATCAACTTAAAAATTCCGCTCTAATTTCGTGAAACAGCAGTTCTCATAACTAGAGGTGAAGCAATTGGTTGAACGACAGGAAATTCACTGCAGTTTTGATCGTTTAAGTCACTTCTCATGTAAAAATCTAAAACATTTGCTAGTTTCAGCATCTCAAATGTGTGAATTTGGTTTAATGTTTACTGTAAATGGAGTAAAGTTGAATGTCTTTGTGTTTTTGAACCATTGGTTTGACAACTCGTGAGCAATTTGAAGATGTTTTACAGATTAAAATTGGGAAAATAATTTATAAAATCATCAATAAAATGATGAAAAACTTGCTAGTTTGAAGCATTACTCGCTATAAAAGGTGAGATTACTTCTGAAAAACAGGTCAGCTGTATCCAGAGATTCATTTACACATGGACCCGCTTTGAATTATAGCTGTGAAAGTTGGAATTGAAGGTGTACACTGCAAAGGTGGATCAAAGTATAAACCAGAGTGTAAAAGTTTGACATGCACAGCAGAGAAGCGATTTGTCTTGAGAACAGGCTGTTATTGTCGTGAGTTCACCTCCCCTCAGCTGAATAACAGGACTCTTATTTGGGTAGGGAAGCGCCCGGCTCAGAGCCTCACGGGATTGGAGGAAGCAGCTGTCCAATAGTGCGCCAGAGCAGAGCAGAGCAGAGCTGTGCTTGGTTTACACCAATAGTGGGATTTTTTTTTTTTTCCCCCTTATGGAGAGAGGAGAGAGAAAGAGTGCACACTGAGGAGAAACAGCAGTTCAGCCTGATCTCAGTACAGTATATCCTGTCCTCTAAAACTGCCGGCACACACAGACAGAAAGAGAGAGAGAGAGAGGAGGGACAGAGAGAGAGAGAGAGGAGGGAGTGAAGAAGAAAATGGAGAAAGTGCTGTTGGTCTGAGGTGAGTGAAGCTTTAACAACAAGGTGCTGAGGTTTTAGAAGCAGGCTTTAGCCCTTGTTAATTCCCTCCTGTGTTTAAGCTGAATGGAGAGGATTGACGGGGAGAAGCTGGGCGGACTGGGAAGGAAGAGCCGGGCTGTTTATTTCCAGCCTGTGTTTGCTTTAGTTGGTGAGAGTTCCAGGCATACCAAGAACAAGACGCTGTATTTAGCCAACACAGTGCGACTGTAGTGGAGCCTCCTAATCTCTGCTCACTGACAGAGGGCATTTTCAGCTGGACCTGTGGAGTTTGGACTCGAGATTAAAGTAGATTTGATTGATCTGTACAAAGTGTAGAAACTCTAAATTCACTGTAGCTTTTTTTTTTTTTTTTTTCCTCATAATTTCTGTCTGTCACTCGTCTGATGCTGACATGAGGGATGGATTTTGGACCAGAAAATATTGACATTGTCTGTTTTCCTGTCTCACTGACCCCGTTGGCTCTTCTCTTAGCCAACATTTGTAAACAATAGACTGTTTATCTGCAACAAGCTTTGCACTTCCACACTCTGGTTTCCACATACCCCCCCCCCCCCAGGCGACATTATACACGTACAACCAACATTTGTTTTTAATTTTTGAAGTTTTTTTTTTTTTTATGTCACTTTCTAATTGTTGTTTTGCGTCATACAGTTGGATCTCACATAGTTTTGGGCTGACTTAAACCACCCCTTGCCAAAATGATTACCACTCATGCTTTTCCTGCAGAGATGTCAGAAACCCGAGACACGTTTGTACTTGCACTGTCAAATTAGGGTGATTGTCAGCGGCCGAGGAAACACACTTGTGTTGTGCTGACACTCGTTTCTGTTTCATTTGTCGACCCGCAGTAAATATGCAGATGTTTTTTTGGTCTTAACTAAAACGTTGTTGTGGTCTGTGTTTCAGAAAGAGGACAAAGATGCCCAAGCACAGAAGACGACAAGGACTCTGTGGCCCCCTACTATGTTGAGACTCCTTACGGTTATCAGTTAGACCTGGACTTCCTCAAGTATGTCGACGACATTGAGAGGGGCAACACCATCAAGAAGCTGAGTATCCAGAGGAAGCCCAAAGTGGCCAAACCCTTGGCAGTGCCTCGGGGCAGCACCGGCGGGGGCAGCACTCAGGCTGAATGGACCTCCACGGACTCCTTGTCTTCCTCCAACAGCGACGACAAGCAGTCCCCGGTCTTCTTCACCTCCAGGCCCCAAGTCGCTGCGCCGCTGACCCCCACCCTCTCCAGGGCGACCTGTGAAGTCCCCCTGCAACAATCCTACTCCATTGTTGCAGAGCAGAAACAGCTCCTGCCCCCTCCCTCGCCCAGGTTTGCCCCTCGTCACAACCCCCAAGTGGAGAAGACCCTCATGGAGACGCGTCGACGGCTGGAACAGGAGCGTCTGCTCCTGCAGCCGCTCAGCGAGCCCCCAGTGCCTCGCCGCCGACTCGCCAGCTTCAGCGGCATGGGCTCCACCAGCTCGCTGTCCTCTTACTCGGGGTCTATGGCCCCGAGCCAGATCTCTCCCAGCGCCCATCAGCCTCTCCCCATCAACGGCCACCTCCCTAATGGAGAGTATAACCCCTACTACCCACCATCCATGGGCAGCTCCATCCGCCACAGCCCAATGAGCTCCGGCATGGCCACGCCTGTCACTAACGTCAGCCCGCTACACCTTCAGCAAATCCGGGAGCAGATGGTGGTGGCCCTCAAGAGGCTGAAAGAGTTAGAGGAGCAGGTGAAAACCATTCCTATCTTACAGGTTAAGATTGCTGTTCTACAGGAAGAGAAAAGACAATTGGCTGCTCAATCCAAAAATCAAGCTCCCGGAGGTTTTCGTAAGCGCTCCTACAGTGTAGGCAGCGTTGACCAAATGGAGAACCCGGGCCCCATCCAAAAGGAACCAGAGTTGCACATCATGGAGCCTGAAGCCCAGGAACAGAGCGCTCAGCGGCTGGAGGAGTTCAGACGTCTGGCTGCTGAGGTCCAAGCTCTGGAGAAGACCACCCAGGACAATAATCTAAACGAGCTTCAGCCTCACAGCCTCACTCAAAACCAGGCCCACCAAAAGTCCATCGGCATAGTTACTGATGAAAACATGAACAACCTTCCTGTCCGTCAGAGAAAGCTGACAAATGAACTCTGTTTCCGGGATGCAGGAGTAGTGACGGAGCGGCAGGAAGTGCGCAGCGCTGCGGTCGGCGTGACCGAGGCCATGCTGGGCATGACCAGCGAAGCTGAGAAAGAGATCGAGCTCCAGCAGCAGACCATCGAAGCTCTGAAAGAGAAGATCTACCGCCTGGAGGTGCAGCTGAAAGAAACCACCCACCAGATGGAGATGGGAAAGCTAAAACTGGAGCTCCAAGCGGCTGGTGGGTCAAACAAGAAGAAGGCGGACAAAGGCGTGATGGCCAGGCCGGAGATGTACAACGCCTGCGTGGAGGCCAAAGTCCAGATGCGCAGCCACGGAGTGGGTGACCATCTGGAGTTCAGCCATGTTGGCACAGCTAAAACTATACAAAGCCACAGTGTAGGAGTGTCCTGTCAACCCAGTGTTGCCAGCATTGCCACCGGCCCGGAGATCCCTATGGACCGGTGGGTGGTGCATGAGCGCGTGGAGACGGCTGACCAGTGTGTGGGGAGGCGGGTGGAGACGTGTCACCAGCAGGTCGGCGTAGAGCTGAATGTTTGTGAGGTGGGAGTTAACACAGAGGAGTCGGTGGACAGCCTGGCTCTCTGCAAACCCATGACAGAGTTGAGCAAAGAGAGCAGGACGGTCGGCTGTGGAGATTGTTCAGTCGATGTGATCGTCAGTCCCGTCAAGGCGCTGGTGTCGCAGGGAACTGACCCAGATCCTGTGATGAAGGTGGACGCTGGCGTCATGGCTGCTCCTGACTCAGCAACTCAGCAGACCAATACTGAGACAGAGGTTTCAAACAAGTCCACCAACACAAGGACCGCTGTCCTAACGGACTCCTTCACTGAGACGGTGTTGATCACTTGTGATAAACAGACCAACACGGCGGTGACGGAAATGAGGACGGTCGCCGCTGGGGAGGGACTCGTCAAAGACGTTCACTCGACGGCAAAGACACGTTCGATTGCTGTTGGAACCACCACAGATGTGGAGTCATTCCTCGGCAAATCAAGCTCAACCAAAACCAAAGAATGTGGCGTTGGGCCAGTTAGCGTCCACGAGAACTTCTTGGTCGGCTTAAAAACCAGAAACATAGCATGCGGCCCCTCCCAGCCGGCTGAATCCGTCACAAGCAGCAGCAGCAAGGAGACTGCGGAGGTTAAAACGGAGCCTGCACCACCGCAACCTGAGGCCCAGGGGGGCGCCGGACTGGACCATTACATCGAGAGGGTGCAGAAGCTGCTGCAGGAGCAACAGATGCTGCTCGCAGAGAACTACAGCGAGCTGGCCGAAGCTTTCGGTCAGCCCCAGTCCCAGTTTGGATCCATCAACAGTCAGCTGGTCAGCACTCTCTCCTCCATCAACTCCGTCATGAAGTACGGAAGCGTGGAGGACATCCTCAAGCTGCAGGCGGAGTCTGTGGCCTCCGACAAAGGTGAGAGGTTCAGCACATGCAGCACTAAGAACACCGATGGTTCACAGTGTTGCAAAAGCAGAGTTCTTGTGATAACCAATTGGAAACTCGTGCCAGGTAATCAAAGCGTAGTTTCAAGGGCGGACAACAGAAAATGTACACACAGACGCACACAGGTACACACAAGTACACACAAGTACACACAAGTACACATGTCTCTCTTATCTTCCTTAAATGAAATTACTGATCTCCATCTACTTAAAGCCTGAGGGGCGTTCAAAGACGGTATAGTTTGATTTCTTTTTTAGGATTTAGGAGAAGCTAAAAAAGCTAAAAAACTTAAGGATTGCAAGAGAAATTATTCAGTTTTAGTAATTACAAATCAGATGTTATGATGATGTTTTTCAGTGCACACTGGCTGCAGAGATGGAGCAATTACTCCTGGGTAAATTACCTCAATTACAAAGAGACATGTAAATGTGAAAGCTAAATTCATCAGTGATTTTCCTTTTATTATAGTTATTTTATTTTAAAAATGTGTTTATGTTTTGATGCAGTAGTACAAACTTACAAAAGGAGAATAAGGAGAAAAAATAAATCAGTAAATGGGGAAAAAACCCGACAAACACACACAGAACATCGTATATAATGACAACAATTGCCAGAGTCACAAATTAAGTGCAAAGTAGTGTTTCTTTTAAAATGAACAAAAGTATTCATACACATTCCAGTTTAAATACACAGCACAGTGTGAGTCCAGCTTCCCCATCCATAAAATTCATTATAGTTATTTGTTATTTATTTTATGTATAAAGTGTTATATGTGTGTGTTTACTTTTGAGGGATGTAGGGACATTGAAATTTAGTTAAATTCCCTTGGAAAAGTCATTAAAGTAATGAAATAATAACCATTGATTGAAATAGAAAACTTCAAATGTATTTTAATTGTATGAAATGTAAAACAAAGTAATTTCATTTTAGCAGGGTTGTTTCAGAGGACGATAAAACAGCTGTAGCAATGACACACACAGATGTGGTTTGGGACTGAACGGCAGCGCAGTTTCTGCTGCACTGTTCACACCCGGTCCACACAGAGTCCTGATGGGATCGGACAGGCCAGAGTTATCTCTGACCCCGAAAAATGCAGCGGGGGCTTTGGACATGAACCAACAATGAGCTCATTTCTTTTCGGGAGCCAGTAACGTCGCACAAATCGGCCACTTGTTGTTTTTGCGGACCGCCCTGCCTTCACTAACACCTCACTGTTGATGCTGATTCATGGCTCCCTCCGAGTTACATAACCTGCATTCATGCTGGCTGGCACATGAATGCAGGGCGAGTGTGTGTGTGTGTGTGTGTGTGTGTGTGTGTGTGTGTGTGTGTGTGTGTGTGTGTGTGTGTGTGTGTGTGTGTGTGTGAGCTTGTTTCTGGTCAGTTACTGGCCTCTTTTGGTGTGTTTCATACGTCCTTCTCCAGTAACTGTAAGTTCAGTATAATCACAACACTGCACACAATAAGCTAAGTGGGAGCGACTTCATAAAAGTGTCTGTTGTTGCTGCAGTGTGTTGGTTGGAGTTGCATTTTACACGTCAATTTCCCAAATCCCATAGCAACATTTTCATGTCTTGTGTTGTCCAAAAGTTTAATTGATAAACAAAATAGTTGCTCATTATTTTTCTGTTCATTGACTAATTGTTTACCAACTAATTGTTGCAGCTCTACTTGTCATTAAAAACATGTCTTGCAGTTGGTGGTTTTGTAGCTTTTTGTTGTTTTTAACAAAAACCCACATCGTTGCAAAGCCTGGTGTCGGGTTCATTGACTCTGTTTCTGTCGGCCATCAGTGTGTTGTTTCCTCTTTCCTTAATTTATTCCTGCCGACAGCTGTCAATGTGAAATTGCATCATAATTGCAGAGTCATCATACAGCCCCTCTCTCCTACACATGCCCAGACCGTGACAGTTTATTGACCAACACTTTGGCTGTGAGATTAAAAGTCTGGGCTAATTTAGCTTCTTGAGCATAACTAAACCATTGAGTTTAAGATTTGTTGTTTACATTTACCAGGCAGTAGCTTATTTAAGAATGATCTAACAAGAGTCTAACACTTGACATGAGGTAAGTGGCCTCAGCAGCGTGTGGAGTGTGGTTTGACCAGACTCGTCGGTAACTCCTGTCTGTGTTGTCGGACACTGACCCTCATCCACCTCTCCTTTTGTTTCAGAGCTCGGTCAGCAGCTGCGCGCCACGTCGCTCTCTGTCGCCAACACACCTGCCCAGCAACAGCAGATCAGCGCAGCCGAGCAGAAGAGCCGCATGGACCTGCAGATGTCCACGGCGCTACACGGTACGACTGTCCTCGCCACACAGGAAATGTTGATGTTTACGATGAAATTCAGGTGTGATGGTCCAACTTTTAGGGCTTTTTTTAGCTGAGCCACTTGAAAATGAGTGCTAGGAGTGAAGGTCAGTCACATTACGCTTACACAATACTCTTGTCTTGCTTTAAGACTTTGATTTTGCTTCAGGTCCAAACAACTGAACCCACATTCCGATAGAAACGGTCGAAACGAAAAACACTGACAGTCGAGAGGACGGGCAGATCGTTTCCATTCCTGAAGAGGAAGCATGTTTTGCAGATTTAAATAAGTTGCAGACGGTGCAGTGAACATAAAAACCCTTTTACCTGAGTCAGTGCAGATCTTGTGAACTGACAAACCAATAAATATGAGTCCTGGGAAGGTTTCTGCTTTGTGAACATACATCAGTGTAGAAAGGCTGAAGAGATAAATATGATCCAGTGCTTTAACATACAGGAGGTTAAGGAGAACCAGCCGACCTGGGTTTAAAAAGTACAATGATGTGTGAGAGTCTTAGTGTTTGTGATAAATGTTAGAGCTCCATGATGTCACAGTGTCTGTCTGAGAAGCTGCAAGAAAGAGACTCGGCTCATTAGATGGTGTAAATGCAGTGTTCTGGTGGACGGAGGCTGACTGACTCAAGTTATCTGATCAGATGTCTGGACTGTGGTTTGGAAGCTAAAAATACATTTTCTAAACGCAACATTGATAAGTCTCTCCAGTGGTGAAGTGATAATAACACAGCCGGTCCAGAAATAGCAGCAGATGTTCAACGCTGTTGTTGTTTCAGGAGTAGAGGGACGATTTCACACGCTCTTCATGTATAAACACGGTCACAATCACCATCACCATCGTCATCATCATCATCATCATCATCATCAGTATCAGTGTGGCTTCCTCCTGACGCTGCTCCCACCTGTCAAAACATGGGCAACGTGCTGAATGACTGTGATGCTACTGAGCTTACACACACCAGTGTAAACACATGCGAGTGCATACATGTCTCTACACGAAGACACGCACACACACACACACACACACACACACACACACACACACACACTCTCAATCACTGTCTCTCTCAGTTGTTGCCCCCCCCGGAGCAGTAGAAGAGGCCCCTCCGCCGGGGCAGGTCTTGGCAGATGTGCTGAGCATTCTGGCTCTCTCTGCTGGGATTCTGGTTTTCAAGGCCTGTACTTAAAATAACTGAGATACTTCAGGGTTTGGAGGAACTTCCAGCGCCTCGCTGACAGATCGCCCTGGAAAGAACACGAGGTGGACACTTAATGGTCGCTCTCCTCTCTGCCAGAGCCTCTCCATCATGTCACTGAACTTTAGTGGACCATACAGGCTTTATCAACCATTGCTAATGAGCTGACCAGGCTGGTTAATGCTGCAGGAGAAGAGAGCAAAGGGAATAAACTCTCAGCTTGTGAAGGAGGAATCAGTCTCTCCCACCTTTAACCCAAAGGCTGCTAAATAGTATTCCTAAATGCAATGTAGAGATGGAGATGCATTTTAACCAAGTGGCATTTACATCTTGAACCATGTTAAACAACCAATGTCTTTGACTCTCTTAGGTGTCTGACACTTTAACTTTGTCTGCTTTTTTATGTGACTTTATCCTCTGATATCTTAATGAATGCCCGTCTTAATGAGGTCGGGAGACTTCATCGTTCTGTCCCTGACAAAGTCTGATATGTTGCAGCTGTGTTGCAGTCGTGTCAATAAACCTAAACCTAAAGGGAGATTTTATAATAGAGCTGTTCTGATACCTGTACAGGTACCAGAAAGGCCTAAGATACTGGATCAGGAATCTGCAAGTACTCAAGTCCATGCACCGATCTGATACCATGTAATGTGTTGATAAAGTTTATAGTTTCACACCCAGATAAAATGACACTTTCCTGGAAACCAATTCTTCTTCACTGCTCTAAATCAGTAGCCTACACATAATAGTATAATATAAGTTCTAATAAAACATCCCTGGTGCAGACACTGGGAGCCGCCGTGACAGAGCTGTGAAGAAGAATTGATTTCTGGTAAGTAGCCTAACATTAGCCGTTAGTCGAGGTCACAAATAGGTGGACCACAGTCCGGGTCCAGACCCAGATAAGGTCCAATCCAGACCCGGACCGACAGAATACAAATGATTGAGAATTATTACAGTTTGACGGAGTGTTTCTGTTTTAACCGCCACAGCTTTTCAAGGAATCAGCCGATGCACAAATCCAGGTTTCTGAATCTGTATCAAGAAGGAAACATTATTTATCCTTTTTTACAAGGAGCTTATAAGAAAAATAAACTAAGACAGGAAAAAAAGATGCATTTCACATGTAGGATTTAACTAAATCAGCAGTTGTTGCCTCATCAAAAGCAAACTTTAACTTTTCTGATCCATGAACTCCGGAAAAGTGTCACATTTACTTTGTAATGAGTCTTTCTCTCTAAATAATTCTGCTGTGCTCTTCTTCTCTGTCCCTCAGGGCAGCCGTGCAGTCAGAGCACCCTGAAATCCATCATGAAGAAGAAGGACGGCCGACCCGACTCCAACGGCACCAAGAAGAACCTGCAGTTTGTCGGAGTGAACGGAGGGTGAGTCAGGAAATATATCCACGGCCTCTCCTGTCATGAATGTTTCACTGTGCCTGTTGGAAGGTTTTAATACGGTGGTTTGGTCGTGTATCGGAGGTTAGAGGTGCTGCTGTTTTACATTCACAAGGCTGTTGTGTTGATGTTCTTTCCTCTTTAACGCGGGCCTGTTAACATCCACCTGGTTCTCTGGATGAGAGCGTGTTGCATGTAAATGCCATGAAACCTGAGCTGCGTCGCAACACCTGAGTCCTCAGGTTTCTGTGCCTCTGTCGCCCCCCTGTGGCCCAGGTACGAGAGCACGTCGAGCGACGACTCCAGCTCAGAGGACAGCAGCTCCTCTGGGTCGGACGAAGAGGAGGAAGAGGAGGAGGAGGAGGAGGAGGGGAAGGAGCACGGAGGAAAGGAGGAAAATAAGAACGCGGAGGGAAAGAGCACCAGGGAGGAGTTCCAGCCTGAGGGAGCCGAGGATGTGGACAAGAAGGATGAAGAGGAAGGTTCAGAGAAGCAGGAGACGAGGGAGAGGTGGGTTCATGAAAATCACATTTATTTTAGCGTTTTCACTGTTCTGAACTTTTACTGTTTGTGAATAATGGCTTCAAATGCCACATGAGACATGTGATCCTAGAAAGAAAGTGTTTGATTTATCCCAGATATTTAATGTTTTCTTTTGCTGTTTCGTTCTACACACACGACGGGTTTATACATCGAGGCATTGAGGTGGACATTTTGTCTCACCTCAGACACAGCATCAGCTGAGTACCAGCTGAATAATGATGACATGCAGGGTGTAAACAAGTTGAAATGATTGCTTCAACATCTGATAAAACCAGTTGTAGTTATTTTTCTTTTCACATTCTACATTTTCGACACGTGTTAGATAAGGAGCTAATTAAACGCAGCACGCAGGATTGAGGTTATTTGAATTTTTAAAGGATGTTTTGTTGTTGTCTGTCGCCTCTTTCCAAAGGTATGAGCTGAGTGAGAAGATGTTGGCTGCGTGCAGCGTTCTCAAAACTCACCTCAGTGACTCGAAGGCTGTGAGCAGTAAAGATCTGGTGAGGAGTTTCATTTCTGCTCTTGTTCTGTTCAAACTCAAATCTGCTGCGGTTTGCACAAAAGCAACAACAAAAAAAGTCCCACTGGTTTTACAATTCGTTAAATGGCGACGCTCTGTGTCACTTCAGCTGCTGTCATGTCTTTTAAATGAGTTTGATTTGTATGAAAGTTCATTATTATTTATTCTAACATGTCTTCGCCTGTGATGATTGATTTTTCTTTAGAGAGCTTGTCTGAACACGGTGCAACACGAGTGGTTCCGCGTGTCCAGCCAGAAGGCGGCTGTGGCGGCCATGGTGGAGGACTACCTGGGGGCCTTCGGGGCCATCTCGCCGGCCGTGCTGCGCCACGTCGTCAACATGGCCGACGGCAACGGCAACACGGCGCTGCACTACAGCGTGTCGCACTCCAACTTCCAGGTGGTGAAGAAGCTGCTGGTTGCAGGTGAGAGCGGCTGCAGCGTCTCTGAAATATTAAAGCGCCAAGTTCAGATGAGGGAGATGAAGTTTGCCTTCGTTGTCGTGGGAACTGTAGATATTTCAACTTCCATATTTCCACTTTAGGGAGTTGTCGTCCATGTTGCTGAGATTAAAAGTTCAGTCCTCATCCTGGAAACAGAAGTTGACAAAACGATCTCACCACAGAAATGTAAAAATATATGCATGTTGGCTTGTGTTGAGATGAAACCATAATTAGAAAATCTTTAGCAGAGCATCTGTATACGTTCTTCCTGTCTGTGTTTTCTTAGAGAAAGTGGTTGAAAAGTTTCTCAAAGTTTTCCTTATCCGTCCAAACCCTGGGATTATCTTTGTTTTCCTTTTTTAAAAAAATGCAGCCAAGGTTTGGTTTCACTCCCCTGGCCTCCTCTTCACACCACCACAACTCTCCACACGCCGCATCTTCTCCTTCACCCTCTCATCCTCCTCTTCATCTTCCTCCCAAACAGAAAATAACCTAAAACATCCTTGGTTCGATTCCAGCAGGGGACGTTTGTTTCATGTCGTACTCTCACTCTCCCTCTTCCTCTTTGCATTTCCTGTGTGCATCTTCGGCGAGACTTTCAAATTAAGATAAAAATGCAAAAATAAAATGATCGCAATTGTTTGACAAATGAATCAATAACAGCTTTTTTGGTCAAACATCAGAAGGTTTTTGTTTTACACAATGAAGGGTCAGACTTCCTTGTGAACATGATTATATATCATCACTATAACACTGATCTGTTGAGTGTTATGATGACACACACGCACAAAAAGATTCAAATTACTTATAATGTTTTTTTTATTCACATGCAAACAGGTCTTTCTAAAGAGCAGAGAAGAATGTGTAGAGTGTGTAGCTAAGACAAAAACACAAACAAAACGAAACCCTGCGGCCCACAGAGCATTTTCAGCTAAATAAAAGCCGGAAACCTGGAATGGCCACAGGGTCAGTTACAGCTCTTTACTTTATGAATTCTTAAACCAAGATTAGATGTAATATTCGTGCAGCTCACTCAGCCCAGAAAAACAGACAGTAATGCACATGTGGAGGAGAAGAAAGTCGTTTTGTGATCCACACACACACTCGGTCCTCGTCGACACATGCATGTGGCGATCTCTCTGAAGGCTCAATAGACTGTGATGAGGTCCCGGCCACTCGCTGCTCTAAAAGCCTTTTGTCTCCTCGGCCTTTTGTGTCCTTGTGCCGTGTGACAGCGTATCCACCCCCCTGTTCCCATTGTGGCCTTTGTCCTTGCACCGTCCCAGTTCCTCAGACCCCCACCCCCACCCCCACCCCCACCCCAGTGGTGGGGCAGCCACCCTCATACCCGCCTCCCTCCCATCCAGGTCTGATTTCTGGTTGCCTGCAGAGGTGTAAAGGATGAACTCACACAAGCATCATGGTCCTGAGGAGGAGGGGAGGAGGAGGAGGAGAGGAGGAGGAGGAGGAGGAGGAGAGAGGAGGAGGAGGAGGAGGAAGGAGGAGGGATATGAAGCATCACAGGCCTCGTACGTTGTTGTGTTGTTGAGTGACAGGCGGCGACAGTGACGAGTCAATCACAGGCAGAGTCAGAACGTACGAGGGTTTGATTGAGACCACCCATGATGGAAAAGTATGTTTAAACGTGTGTGTGTGTTTGCGTGTGTGTGTGTGTGTGTGTTTCAGATGTGTGTAGCGTGAACCAGCAGAACAAGGCGGGATACACACCCATCATGCTGGCAGCGCTGGCAGCCGTGGAGACTCCCAAGGACATGCACATCGTGGAGGAGCTCTTCAGCAAGGGCGACGTCAACGCCCGAGCCAGCCAGGTCAGTGACTGGAGGCCCGGGGGGGGGTCAGAGGTCAGAGGTCAGAGGGCGGCAGCAGGGCACCAACAGCAGCCTCCACACACGGTTTACGTTTCAATGAGATATGAAGGTCGTAAACTAGGCAGGGTGAAAGCGACACTACAGCATCATTGAAGATTATTTAAAATGTTTTTGAATGCCTGTGATTCATTATTACATCAGAGATTCACAAAACCAGACTGTGAAGTTTTTACCCTCAAGTAGGAAAAACAGTCTTCTGGTGACACCAAGTGGTGAAGACGTGTAACTGTTTAGATTTTTAAGGTAGTTTGTGTTTGGGTTTTTGCAGCTGTCATTGGGGAGCCTAGTCTTTAATGTTTGGATGGAGATGTTTTTAAAATTAAGGAGGAATCTTTGTATTTTGGTTTTAAGTTTTGATCTAGTACTTCTGATCGGTGATGATTTCTTTTACAGGGTGAATCCGTGTGTGAATGGGGGGGGGGGGTTAGTAAAGTAAAATGTTGTATGATTTATGGCCGTAGCTAATTGTTTTCTTTTTATGAAGTCATTTATTCATTATTTATCTCAGTTAATTATAAAATGTAAAAAAAAAAAAGTGTAGGGGTTACACCTTAAAACTGCTTGTTTAATCCAACCAACTGTCCAAAACTTAAAATATTAAAAGTATAATCATCTGAAAGGGAGAAAAGTAGCAGCTCCTCACATCTGTGAAGCTGCTGATTTCAAACACTCTGAGGTTCCAGCTTCTCAAATGTGAAGATTTCTTTGTCACATGTGACAGTAAACTGAATGTCATCACAGGCTCCAGGAAACTCTAAAACTCTAACGTTTTATTTTATGATGCAGACAACAGAATCAATAGAAAAAATGAATGTGTGCATTAATTATTTGAATCCTAAACTTAACCCCAAAACTGACTCCCTTGTCCCTGGTGCAGGCGGGTCAGACCGGGCTGATGCTGGCGGTCAGTCACGGCAGGATGGACATGGTTCGGGCCCTGCTGGCTCACGGGGCCGACGTGAACGTCCAGGACGACGAGGGCTCCACGGCGCTGATGTGCGCCAGCGAGCACGGCCACGTCGAGATCGTCAAGCTGCTGCTGGCTCAACCCGGCTGTGACGCCACGCTCAGCGACAGCGTGAGTAACTCATGAAGGTGCAGGGACGCTGACAGAGCATCAGTGACGGGAAACTGCCCTTCACTTCCTGTATCTAACTGTAAAACAAGCTGAATGACAGTCATCGTAGGACGAAACCATTAATCAATTATTGAGAAAATGATTGACACATTGATGGTGATCATCGTAGTTGTCGTGTGAGCCGCTGCCTGAACAGCAGCCGGTCAAATCCCTCTGGGATTACAGGTTATGAAGTCACATGTATTATTTGGACGCACAAAGTTGTTCAGTGTATCTGCAGATTATTGATTTTATTCAATGTTTTATGACTTTGCTTCTGAATACGCTGCAGAACAATATGTGTAATTGTCTAATATTGATATGGATAATAAGTGGTGTTAGTAGAATTAATAGTGGATATGGTTTTGGGAGATTTACTAAATACTGATTGATGGCTTTCTAACAGGTTTTATTTCTCAGTTTTTCTAATGTTTCATCCTTGTTGACTTGTTTGTTTCCCTCCCTGCAGGACGAGAGTAATGCCCTGTCCATAGCTCTGGAAGCAGGACACAAGGACATTGCAGTGTTGCTTTATGCACATGTCAACTTCTCCAAAGCCCAGTCACCAGTAAGTGTCGATTCACTTTTATTTTTATATCTGAAAATCGCAAATGTGCCTCAGTCTCAACAGTACACAACACGATCATTTACATCTCCGCTCTGATCCCAACCATTTAAACGTGTCTGTGTACGACTAACCTTCCAGGGAACCCCTCGACTCGGCAGAAAGACGTCACCCAGTCCCACCCGGAGGGGCATGTTCGATTAGAGGCCCCGCCTCTGCCCAGAAACCCTGCGCTGCTATTGGTTCACGCTGAACGATGCCTTACCCACAGCTGGATGAGGTGACTTAATCCCCAAGCACCAACCTACCAACCAACCAACCAACCAATGAGATTTCTGGAAGTATTTTTTTTTTTTTTT